AGTTGCCAAACATCAGCCACGAAACATTAATGACTTTGAGAGGATCTGCAAAGAGGAGTGGGTCAAAATCCCCCCTGAGATGTGTGCAAACCTTGTGGCCAACTACAAGAAATGTCTGACCTCTGTGATTGCCAACAAAGGTTTTGCCACCAAGTACTAAAGTACGTTTTGCAAAGGGATCAAATACTTAATTTCATTCATGAAAATACAAATGAATGTATAACTTTTTTTGTAATGCATTTTTCTGGATTTTTTTTTTTTTTTTTGTTATTGTTGTGTCTCTCACTGTTCACATAAACCTACCATTGACATTGTAGACTGATCATTTCTTTGTTAGTGGGCAAACTTACAAAATCAGCTGGGGTTCAAATATTTTCCTGACTGTAGCTTAGAATTAAGACATGCATATCAGAATCAGTATCATCTTTAATGTCCATGTTTGAACATAAACATCTGATTCTGGTGCTGAGGCTCTGTGTGTCAGGCAACAAGGAATAGAAAAAAAGAGAGAATAAAACAACAAAAATAAACAATGTGTGTATTTAAGTACATAGTAGTAATATGTGCAATCAAAAACAGAAAAAGAATGAGAGGAAAAGTGTGATGTTCTACCTCTGGCTTCCTACTAGTGACTGTCATTTTGAAAGGAACTTCCTGGTTTTCTTCATCTCATGCTCTCCAGCTTTGCTGCTGCCAATCAGTGGCTGATTCTGATCACCTGGTAAATCCCTCTTACCTGTTACTTCACCCCATAATGCTTTGCTGCTGCTTGTCTTTGCCTTCATCTTCTTCCCACAAAGAGGGTAATCCATGGAGAATTGAGGCACCTGGCAATATCCTTCGGAATGTCATGAGAACGGAAAAACTCAGCTGTAACAGCCTGCTTGTTGTATAATCCGATTCCTAGGAGATCATGTAGGTTGTAGACATTGCTCACCCAACAGGATGTTGGTAGGATGAGTAACAACACACACAAAAATAGCCAAGCAGAATCAGAATCAGCTTTATTGACCAGGTGTGTCGGACACATGAGGAATTTGACTCTGGTACAGCGCCTCTCAATGTGTACATACACATCAACAAGCAAGGGAATATGCATTAGGAAAGAGATAAAAAAAAAAGTACTTATAGAGACCTGTAATTATACAGTATATATATATATATAT